AAGGAGTGCGGTAGGGGAAGAGACGGTAGTAGGGGACCGACTCGTCAAACGTGACGTCCTGGGAGGATAGAACACGATGAGAGGAGGGGTGGTAGAACTGCCACCCTGGCGCGTCAGGGGGGTAGCCGAGGAAGACACAAGGAGCAGCACGAGGGGACAGCAGACAAGTCGCGGACAAACGCCCGAGATCCCCAGACACGGAACGCAGACGCATCGCCTACCTGCCCCGTCCACAGCAAAGCTGGGGAGGTCTCCGTCATGGAGACCCTGGTGTGAAGGTTGATCTAATGCGCCGCATACCGAACCGCAAACGGCCACAGAAAATGGGGGGCAGCCGCATGCATCATGGACGTACGAGCGTCGTCCATGACCATGCCAATGCGGCCTTCAGCAATCCCATTTTGCTTTGGAGAGTCCGGAAGCATAAAGGTCTGGCGGATGCCTCGCGCACGGCAGAAGGCTCGCAGAAGGCCAGAGGAGAACTCTCCGCCTCGGTCAGAGTGCAGACGCAGAACAGGAAAGTCCGAGCCGAAGCTCCTCCTGAGCTGGAGACGAGCTGCGCGGATCCAGTCGATCAACACCTCAGTGACGTCACCCTTGCTGCGCAAGGGGAAGACTGTGGTGTAACGCGAGTAGTCCTCAACCACCAGCAGGAAGTAGCGCTCGTGACCCTGTCCACGGACGCGGGTCGGGCCCCACACGTCCATGTGAAGCGTCTGTAGCGGGGCCTCTGTCGGGGGAAACTGAGAGGAGTGAGGGGCAGCCCGAGCCGCCCCTCGACATAGGGGACGCAGGAAGGACCAGGCCCCGGAGGGAGGGGAGGGAGGGACCGGGGAAGACCAGAGACAAGGACACGGGAAGCCATGCCTTGGAGACAAGGCAGGGAGGGGTGACCAAGACGGTGGTGCCACAGGAGAGTCTCGTGAGACAGGAGGCGACACGAGCAGGGGGCAGACTTAGGACCAGACCTGGACGCTGCAGCAAACACTTGACCCGACGCAGCTACCTGGCCAGACGCAGGGACAGGAGGAGACTCAGTGGTCAGGGTGAAGAGGCTCGACCCTGGCCGACGCGTAAATGTGGCCAGGTGTCGGCCTGTGCGAGCGTCCGAGCAGTGGGTCATCCGGTGACTCGTAGGAGTAAACGGTTTAACCCCCGCATCCTGTAGGTCAGCACCACTCACCAAGTTCGTAGAGAACGAGGGGAGGTAAAGACCACACAAGGTGCCAGAGGGGGCAGCCGGACACGGGAGGACAGTAGAGAAGTGAGAGACGACAGGGCCCCCAGAGGGGTTTGCCAGGGAGACTGCAACCGGCCGACCAAGCGGCGTGAGTGTGGTGCGGTCTCGAAAGAAGGAGCGAGAAGCCCCTGAGTCAAGTGTGAAGGTGAGGGAGGCCGAAGCCGACGCGGTACCTGAGAGCGCAGACTCACCAGCACCTGAGGACGCAGACGCACTTGCACCTAGAGCAGCAGCCTCACCAGCACCTAGAGCAGCAATCGCAATGCCCAGGTCGGGCGGGAAACACCGGTAACAGTCACCCTCATCACTAATAGTCACAGCATACATGGCAGCAAGGATAGCATCAAAGTCAAGATCATAGATAGCTACACCTGCCCTAGACAGCTCTCCCCAGCAGCGGGGGATCTCATAAGCCTCCGGGAACTGCTGACGCCAAGCGTCCGTCAGGCGGCCAAAGCAGCGCTGGGTGGGGTGGGCACCCCCACACTGCTCACCCGCGCGGTCGCCGGTGCGAAGGACGTAAGTGCACGGACCAAAACCCCCACCACGCTGACGCTGCGCGTACCACTCACGGAGTTGCTGAGGGGGGGGGATGTCCCGAGAACGTTGCTGCTACTGCTGCTGCTGGCCCTGACCACCACCGGAGCCGCTCCGCTGCCAAGCGCCACCCCGACCAGCTCCACCTCCTCCAGCACCGCCTCCTCCACCTCCGCCACCACCGCCGCCTCCGCTCCCACCGCCACCGCCTCCGCCGCCTCCACCTCCACTGCTGCCACCGACACCTCCACCCCCGCCACCACTCCCACCGCCACCCCCACTCCCTCCGCCGCCTCCACCGCCACCTCTACCACCCCTGCTAGCTCCACCCGCGCCCTTGCCCCCCTTGCCCTTGCCAGAGCGGCGTCTCCTGCTAGGGGCAGACGCCGCACCGACCGACTCAAGACCAACGAGGTCGGCCGCAGCAGCAGAGGCGACAGAGGGCAAAAGGGGGGAAGGGGAACACCCCTCAAAGATGGGGGTGCGAGGGTCACCACGAGAGGCCCCTACAGCGACTATGCTCTTCTCTGCTGCTAGGAGGGCCTTCTCAAGGAGGTCAACAGTGAGAGTGGTGGGACAGACTAAGAGGAAGTGGTCCCTGACTACACGAAGGGAGTCAGGGAGGCGGGCGACTATGTAATAGAGAGTGATGTACATGGGGGGGGGGGGGTTCTTGGCACAGAACTCAGCAGGAAGCGCAGCGCGGTAGCGAGTGTCACTAGTGCGGAGGTACGTAATGAGGTCAGCGACTGTGGGAAAGGCAGCAAGGTCAGGGAAAAGGTACGGTAGCATGAGGCGGCTTAGTGCAGTAGTGGCAGGGGAAGAGTAGCGCGCAACTACAGCGTCTTACAAGGTCTGAGCACTCTTGTACTGACTAAAGTGCGCGCGCTCAGTGGTAGGCAGGTGGCGACGCACAGCAAGACGTGCAGCAGCATCGTGCGTGGCCCACTGGGAGCGAACAGTGGCATCAGCATCAGCAGCAGGGGCAGGAGAGGCACCAGAGGTGAGGTCAAAGAGAGAGAGAGACCGTCTGCCCTATCGCACTGTAGGAAAAGCTGCAGGTCATCTACCCAGACCTCAAAGTCAATGGCCCGACCCTCAGCGTCAAAAGCGAGAACACTGGGGGTAGCCATGACAGCAGTAGACTAGCAGCACTAACTGTAGGACAGGGGCAGTGCAGTGACCGAAGCGCTGCTCTCACTAGACAGGGCGGGTCGGGCAGCTCGGCAGTACAGCAGCTCGGCAACACAGCAGCTCGGCAACACGGCGGCTCGGGTGACTCGGACTGCTCAGCAGCAACTGCGGCTCTGTGGCACCAACGGTTCGGCTCCTCAGCGGCTCAGGCGGCTCGGGCGGCTCGGGCGGCTCGGGCGGTTCGGGCGGCTCGGGTGGCTCGGGCGGCTCGGGCCGCTCGGGCTGCTTAGAGGTGCGGGGGGCTCGGGCTGCTTCGCGGTGCGGGCGGCTCGGTCGCGTAGGGCGGTAGGGCCGCTAGTAGGGCGGCGGGGCCGCAAGGTAGGTGGCGGGACCGTAGGGAGAGGGGCGGCGGGGCCGCAGCGAAGGGCGGCGGGGCCGCAAGGTAGGCGGCGGGGCTGCAGCAAGAGGGGCGGCAGGGCCGCAGTGAAGGGCGGCGGGGCCGCAAGGTAGACGGCGGGGCCGCAGCGAGAGGGGGCGGCGGGGCCGCAGCGAAGGGCGGCGGGGCCGCACGGTAGGCGGCGGGGCCGCAGCGAGAGGGGGCGGCGGGGCCGCAGCGAAGGGCGGCGGGGCCGCATGGTAGGCGGCAAGGCCGCAGTGAAGGGCGGCGGGGCCGCAGCGAAGGGCGGCGGGGCCGCATGGTAGGCGGCAAGGCCGCAATGAAGGGCGGCGGGGCCGCAGCGAAGGGCGGCGGGGCCGGGACAGGGCGGCGCCGGGGCCGTAGGGCTAGGCGACGTGGCCCTAGGGCTAGGCGACGGGGGCCGCTAGGGCGATGGGGCCGCTAGGGCGACGGGGCCGCTAGGGCGACGGGGCCGCTAGGGCGGCTCGACGAGGTGAAAGAGAGGAGCGCGACTCGGGCGGAGCGCGGTTCGGGCAGGAAAAAAAATTTCGATGTGGTGGGCCCTAGGCACAGTTCCCACTAGGGAACCTGCTCTGATACCATGAGAAAGTTAGAACGAGAATGAAATGACTAAGTGAAAGTTGGGTACAAATACAACCCCAGAAAGTTGTACCCCATATGTGCTACCCCACTATAGCCTACAACAGCTATGTCATAGAAATCTGACAAAGACCTTGGTGTTATGATTTTTTTTCCTTTGTTAAGACCCCCTCCCCCCCCCCCCTCCCATTTTTTCTAGGGATTTAGCATAAGACCCGAAGGTCTTATATCCGGGGGAATACGGCACGGTACATACAACCTCAATTTTCTGACTTGCATGTTCGGCCGACATCGACGATGCTGAGGTGTCAGAGGTCAACTGGTGATCCCTGATTGATTATAGGGAAGGGTTACATGCATGTTGGCCTGGGAGGTTATAGATGCACTCATCCGCTACACAAACAAACCATTTTATCTCAGTGGTTAGTGGCTGAGATTCTGACATGGTATCAGAGCTAAGGTCTCAGGTTCGAATCCCAGTGTGTGCACTTCGGGTATCCAAGTGCGGCGGGTTGTCAGAGGTCCACTTGTGATCCCCCGATTGATGCTAGGAAAGGGTTACAGACACGTTGGCCTAGAGGGTTATGTGCGCACTTACCCGCTATACAAACAAGTCATTTTATCCCAGTGGTTAGTGGCTGGGATTCTGAGATGAGGCTCCTCGTATCGCCTTCGACTTTCCGATTGCCAAACCTGAACCGAACCTCATTTCCCGAGGTTCCCTCCTAGCTAGGGTAGTCACTATATAATTGCATGCCTTCAATTTATTGTCAGTTCATCAAGTCACATCTTCGTTATTCGTTATCCTGCGCTCTCCCTTTTACAACTCGTAACAACTACCAGATAGGTTTCATGAATATTTTATGCTCCATACAACCTCTTCGGATTTCTTTAGCAGTACTACTGGTACTAAACTGACCATTCTTCTTCAACCGAGATTCCTTATTGCGTATGAGCCACCCATTCCTTTTTCCTACCCCGACCAATCCAGAGCAGCATTCATGGCTGACTGCCAGCCATTCCCGAATTCACCTATGGCTTTCCTCCTCCCTCAAAAATAGTCCAGCGTAATCCGTCGCATCGCATCTCGTCATGGAGCAGATTCCCGCCGTCGCCAGCACGTCCGCCGAGGCGATGTATCGCGATGTCGTGCATCGCCGCTGGGCACGCGCCTTTCTCTTCCACCTGCTCTCCATCGGCCCCTTCCTCTTCCTCTGGGCCGCGCCGCTCGTCGTCCGCGCGGGCCTCCTCCCATCGCTCCTCTCCTTCTTCTCGCTGCGCCTTTACCTCGCTTTTGCGATTTTTGATCTTTCGCAACTTCTTTTCGTTCTAGCTCACCACGCCATCGTCGTCGCAGACGCCCCTCCCCTCCCCTCCACTGCCTCCCTCCTCTCTTCCGCCGCGAATCTCGCCGGATTTGCCGGCATATCAGATCCACGCCCGTTCGTGCACCAAGACCAACAGATTCGCGCATCGCACGACGGGTTTCGCGGGCCCGCCAGCCAATGGGAGGCGGAAGCGGCTCGGGCGACGCTAGCTGGCCGCGCCAAGTTCGCTTCTCTTTGCGCCGCGGCGGGCGCCGCAGGTGCGATCGCGCTCTCGCTCTTCCGCGCGCAGCTTCTGCGCAGCACGGCGGAGACCGAATCCAACGACGAGTGGCCGCCAGACGGTTGGGCCGTGGCGGGCGAGGCGGGATTCGGCGGCGCGGTGGGGGTGCTGTTCGCGGCGTACCACGTGGTGCGGCGCGACTACCTCCTCGCGTTCCCCGTGCTGCAGGTGCGCCGCGCAGCTGCGCTCCACCCCGCCCACGTGTAGGTCCCTTCCACAAATGCGCCTTCATTCACTTGCCGCAGCTGCCGTGGTGCACGGCTACAAGGCGAGGGCAGCTGAGAGTTGGGAGTTGGCGCGGCAGTGCTGCACTCCATGACTCACCTCTCTATGCCTGTCTAAACCAACAACCCTATTGCCGCCCTCTCTATGCCATCCCCCATACCCCTTACAGCGCGCCCCGTTCTACCGATTCAAGACGACCCTCCCGCGCTGCGCCACGTCAGCAGCCACATTCGGGTGCATCACCGCGCTCCTCTACTCCCTCCTGCTCCGCCCGCTCCTGCTGCCGCTCCTCGCCACCGCCACCACCACCGCCACCGGCATCCCGCTCACCTTCCTCGCCGCCCCGCCTCTCTCCATCCGCGCACTGCTGCTCTCTCTGTTGGCTCGCCTGCACGGCGTGGCGTTCCTGGCCTTCTCCTGGGAGGCCGCTGCGGCCGCCACGAACATCTTCCTCACCCACCGCCACCTCTTCCTCCCCGCGCCCTCCTCCCCCTCCTCCCCCCTCGCCCCCCTCCTCCTCGCCCTCTCCCCCTCCCCTGGCCCCGCAACTCCTCCATCCCCTGTCCCCCTGCCCCTCCTCGCCCTGCCCCGCCTCGTGCTCCACTGGGCGCTGCTCGACCTCTCGCTGCTCGCCGAATCAGAGGCTGACACGTGGCGCCGCGCGGTGCTGTTTGAGTCGCAGGAGGCGTACAGCGCAGTGGTGGCGGCGTGCATCCGCCCCATCGATGCCATGACGGCCCGAGTCGCTGCTGCTGCTGGTTATCCCACCGTTACTACTGCACTGCAGCAGCAGCAGCAGCAGCATTATTCCTTACAGTCACCCACGGCTGCATTCACAGCAGCCGGGTTTGCCTCTGCTGAAGGGATGAGATGGCGGCAGGGGAAGGGCGGAGGGGAGGGGGTGGAGGGGCAGGCGCTGCAAGGGGGAGGGATCTTGGGAAGCGGCGCATATGGGAGTGGAATGGGCGTGGGGGGCGTGGAGGGGAGGAGGAGAGCGCCCAGCGCAGCTGAGGTGTTCTTTGACTGGCAGGTGAGCGGGCGGCAGGTGAGCGGGCGGCAGGTGAGCGGGCGGCAGGTGAGCGGGCGGCAGGTGAGCGGGCAGCCGGTGAGAGGGCGGCAGGTGAGAGGGCAGCAGGTGGGGTGATGGCAGGTGGGGTGATGGCAGGTGGGGTGGCGGCCGAGGTGGCCCAAATGCCACACCATGGCAAGTCATGCGATGCCTTGCCATGCCATGAGATGTCATCGCAATCACACCTCGCGTTGCGTCACATGCATGGGTTTCTGCACATGGCGCAAAATGGCTCCTGATACCTCCAACCGCCACAGTTGCTGTCCTTCCCCCTTTCCTCTCCGCCATGCTCGACCCGTGAACCCCCGACTCTCCGATCCACTTCCTCCATACCCCTCCACGTTTCTCCCCGCACACCAGCTGTGTGTCATGAGCATGCGCGCGCTGGCAGCGCTGACAGCAGCGTCGCGGGGGGAGGACCGCATGGGCGTGGCGCAGATGGCGGGCGCCAACGCCGCGGCGCTCTCCGCGCTGCTCTCTGCACTGCTCGCCCTTGACTCGCTCCTCCTCTCCCCCTCCCACCGCCACCCTGCCGCCCCCGCCACCTTCTCTGGCTTTGGGGAAGCTTCCTCGCAAGCGACTCCTCCAGGTGCCTCTCAACCTGCCTTCTCCCACCAGACCTCGGTTCTATCTTCAGGAAGCGGGGGATTATTTGGCACACCGACCCTCAGTCTTAGGTATGGAGGTGCGGCAGCAGGTGGTTCGGACGTACCAGGCGAGGGAGCAGGGGGCGGGGCGGTGGGGAGAGCTGTGTACGGCGAGGGGGTGGTGGGGCCGGTGTGGGGCGAGGCATGGGCCATGGCGGATGTGGTGCGCACCTCTCTGTATTGCATTGCAGAGACGTTTGGGGAGGAGATGGTGGAGAAGGCGGGTGGAGGGATGGGAGGAGGGAGGGGGGGAAGAGGAGGCGGTGGGGCAGGTGCTTGGAGGGTGGATGAGGCGTGGTTGCCTGGGGACATGCGACCCTTGTTTGGTTCGAGAGAAGCTCATGCAGCCAAGGTGCTGTCGCTGCTGGCACACACTGAGTAGCGTGGTACGGTACAAGGCAGTGCTGTTTTGTGCAGTTGTTGATTCATCATGAAGGCATGTGCTTACATGATAATCTGTGTGCAGAATGAGCAGCTGAGTGTACCATTATTTGCAATGATGGAATCATGCACATCTTCCGCCCACATATGATGTGAGCAGTTGACATGTGAGCAGTTGACATGTGAAACAAGTTGATTACACAGTAACGCTGGTACCGTATTCACAATATGGACAAACATGGCAAGCATGTTCCTACAACTATCTAACTTCGGCAGTCCATATCCACACCTCCATCAAAAGCACCGTCTTCCTCATATTTCCCTCTCTCCGCCACACTGCTATGCGCCCGCCACATGCGCCTTGGGAGGGGCCTCGCCCCCATGCTCCACCTCCTTCGCCCCTCCCCCCACCTCCTTCCTTCCACCCCTAGCTTCAGACTCAACCTCACCTTCTCCCTTCACTTCCCCCGTGGCTTCTCCCTTCCCCTCGCCCTCCTCTACCCCCTGGGGCCCCTTCCAGCCGCTCTCCTGCAGCCACTGGCGCCACGTCTTGAGGTGCGGGTTGCAGCGCCGCGCATTGCTGATGTCATGACAGCCGAAGTACGTGTGCTGGGAGAACCAGCGGAACATCTGCTCAGGAGGCACAGGAAGGCGGACGGACAAGTGAGAGGGAGCGTGGCATGGCAGCACCCCAGGGGCGCACAAAGGAAACACTCCAACCGTTCCTTCTTCGCCACCCCAGCCTGTCCCCTGAAGCCACACAATGCAGAGTGCGTGCGTCCCTCACCATTCACCCCTCACCTCCCTCCCCCCTCACCTCCCTCCCCCCTCACCTCCCTCCCCCCTCACCTGCGTCCACTCGTCAGAGGCCGCCTTCTCAGTGGTGTGCAGGCGGGCGGGGCGGCCCGTGACGCGGTGGAAGTCGGAGACGTACTGGTGCAGGGGGGCGTGGTAGCCCGCTAGACACATGTACTCGCCCTGCCAGCACGCATGCATCCAGGGGCGCAGCAGAGGCAGCGGGAATGGGAGAGGGTGAGGGGGAGGAGTGAGCAGAGCAAGAACACAGGGGTCAACTCATGGGGGGTAAGCACACGCAGTCAGCACCCACAGCGCAAGCAATCCACTTGGTTTTCCAGTAGAGCCCGGACAGGGCGAAAGCACCTGCCATGGCAGCAGCAGCGTTGCATGTGGCGATGCAGGCAGCAGAGGGCGCACTCACATCCCAGTCATGGGGGTGGTCGAGGGCGTTGAGCACGGCAGCACCGGTGTCGTCCACATCGAAGGCCGTGAGCATGTCGTCTGCTGCCATGGGCAGCTCAAACACCACCGTGCCATCCGCCTCCTCCCTGCACTGCACAGCGTACAGTGGATTGTAAAGCCACATGCTTGTTGTCTCTCCTTCACAGGTTGAATGAAGCCACATGCATTAAGCAGACGGCAACAAGCGCAAGACAAGGCGCGCATGGGCGCACCTGGCGAGGTTGAAGTGGGCGAAGGTCTGGTAGTAGAAGGCACACATGACGAATGTGTGGTGCTTGAAGCCGCTCGCCCTCACCACCTCCTCCACCTGCAGCGCCATGGGGGGGAAACGGCACAGTGACGGCCAAGAGGTGCGTGCGAGCTGAGGCGAAACACTCGGGGAACTGATAATAAGGCGCCCATGGCGTGGTAAGGCAGCAATGAGTGGGAGGCAGCGGCAGAGCAGGGAGAGGAAGAGAGTGTGCGGGAGGCGCCGACCTTGGCCTTGTTGGTGAAGTGCGGCACGTTGAGTTGGCCCTTGGAGAGGCGGTGCACGTGGGGCAGTGTGCTCCACACCATGTGCTGCACGCCCGCCCCCCTCGCCTCCTCCACCACTCCCTTCCCCACCTCCACCTCGCGCTCTCCCAGCGAGTAGAAGTCCGTCACCTGCCCAGCAGAGGGAAGGGGAGAGAGCGAGGAGAGAGCAGGGAGAGAGCAGGAGAGAACAGGGAGAGAGCAGGGAGAGAGCGAGAGGAGAAGGGGCGGGGTGTGGTTGGCGAGGTTGGAAGTGATGGTGCCAAGAGAGGGCACAATGCCAAGAGAGGGCACAATGCCAAGAGAGGGCACACGCAATGCAGATGTGGCGGCGCCCGTTGCAAGGCGCAGAGCAGTGGACGGGATGCGCAGAGCAGTGGACGGGATGCGCAGAGCAGTGGACGGGATGCGCAGAGCAGTGGACGGGATGCGCAGAGCAGTGGACGGGATGCGCAGAGCAGTGGACGGGATGCGCAGAGCAGTGGACGGGATGCGCAGAGCAGTGGACGGGATGCGCAGAGCAGTGGACGGGATGCGCAGAGCAGTGGACGGGATGCGCAGAGCAGTGGACGGGATGCGCAGAGCAGTGGACGGGATGCGCAGAGCAGTGGACGGGATGCGCAGAGCAAGACAGGGCAGTGAAAGACGTGGTGAACATCAGGAGAGAGTAGCTGGCGCGGGGAGTGGTGTGGTGAAGCAGTTTTGAAGAGACATGCAAAATAGAGCAAAGCATGGCTATGGGAGGCTGCCCAACAACATGCGACTGAGGTGAGCCTTGTACGCGCTACACGCGCTGCTGCCCGCACCGCACGGCACTCACCACGAACGCGCCATAAGCACCCTCCAGCGCCGCGCGCACGGCCTGGCGGTCCGCCTGGTCGGCCTGTGCCACTTCCACCTTGGCGTCCCTCAGATGGGCGGCACGCGGCGAGTCCGCGTGGCGCGTGACGGCGCGGATGCGGTAGCGCCCGCTCGCCAGCAGCGCCGCCACCACGCTGCTGCCCTGCGCGCCTGGTGGCCGGGAGAGGGGAAGGTGGGGATGGCAGGGAGGGCGGGAAAGGATTGCGTGCAAGGAGAGGAGTTAGAAAGACGGACATACGTGAGCGTAAGTAGCGCGGAGAGGCGCGGAGAGGCGCGGAGAGGCTCACCGGTGGCCCCGAAGACGACGATGAGCGGCTTGTCCGGCGCGGTGTGCGGCTCGCCAGAGCGCACTGTGAGTCGGCGGAGGGACGACGTGAGATGCCCCCACATGCTGCCGTGCTGCTGTCGCGACACTCGATGCGACGATTGCGACTATGCGATGAGCGAAGAGCGGGCTGACGGAGGAACGGCACGAGACGGACCGGTGAAGGGCGCGGCGAGTGTGGCGATGACCAAGGAACTCGGTGAGCGCAAGTGAACTGACGCGATAAACAGGGGCCCGCTCGAGAGGCTAAGGACTTGCAGGCGAGTGGGAGGGAGAGCAGCGGAAGGAGTGGGAGGGACTGCCTCGCGGCGCTTCAGTCGAGCGCGTCGTCACCATTGCGGAGGCGCGCAGCATTCGACAGCGACAACGACAGTCCACACTCGTCGACATTGAGAGGCAGCACTACATCACTCGACATTCCTCGTGAAAGTAACGGCGCAGCGCGCCAGGCACTCGCGGCGATTCGGCAATGTGCATTGCATGCGCGGCGTGCGGGTGCATGCACGAGAGGGAGCCGCGTCGGGTGTCTCCATGCGAGCGAGCCCTGCTTGCGTGGCGATTCGCAGCAACGCCGTGGTGTGACGAACGCCAGTCGCTGTGGTGCGCATCTCGCGGGCAAGGAGTGCACCACGACTAGCATGACGGTAGGGCGAATTGGGCAAGTGCTACGGTAAAGGACGTGCATGGGTCTGCCGCAGGAGGCCACTCAACATAGGGCGACTCACCTCACATTTGTCCACCGTTAAAAATGAATTTCCATACTCAATGTGAAGCTTTTGTATGATTTTTCATACTCTAGGTAATAGATAAGAGTATGGCTGGTCAGACCCGCAATGTTACCGTATGAATGAACTTTCAGAATGCGCAGAATAACGAATAATGAGAAATCGAAATTACAGAATGATGATACATCAAAAGTGACGGGATTAAATGGGGGGGATCCTAGCTAGGCAGGGAGGTTGGGCGAAGGTGGGTCCGGAGGGTTGCAATCGGTGCGGGGGCGACTCGGGAGTGGTTCAGTGCGGGAATTTTGGCCAAACGTGTTGATGTGATCCCCTCGGAATCGTACCCGCTGAAGGGCGAGTAAAGTAAGGAATTGCAATGCCGTACATCCTCTTAAAATATCCTAGGAGGGAATAGTCTATCAGAACTAAGAGCACGAATGAATGAACTAAGAGAGTGTTGGGTACAAATAAAAACCCTAAAGGGGTTGTACCTCACGTTGGCTACCCCACTACAGCCTACACAACACAAGTAGCATTATAGTTTGACACATCCCCATAGGCAAAATGGGGGGGAACAAGGGGTCACAAGACCAGTCAAGAAAAGCAATTCAAGCTCAGGGTGGATCACAAAGTCACCACACATTTTGAGCACAAGCAAAGGGCGACAAGGCCAGTTCACATGCAGATGTATATATGTAACAACAACAGTACAATGATCTATCAGAGGCCCACTAGTGATCCCCGATTGATCGTAGGGAAGGGTTATAGGCAGGGCCCACGATATCAGGGCAAAACATCATGATTACCCTGATTTCAGGATGGTATTTTAAGTTAGCCCTGGAATTTCAGAATGACGCTGAAATTTACCCTGTGACGTCAGGATGATTATGTGTTCTGCCCTGAAATTTCAGAATGGCAGTGAAATTTCGCCCTGAAGCGTTAGGGTGAATGTAGAGGGATGCCCTGACTCGTGGGAAGGGGAGAAGGGGTAGAGGGGGGAGAGGGGGAGAGGGGAGGAAGGAGGCTAGTGGGTGTGTGTGCTAGTTTTGTCCCCACCCCTCCCCCTGCAAAGTTTATGCCCAGCTAGTAGAAGTGAAACCACTGAAGAACCTGCTCCTTTCGTGCCTTCCCTTCCACTCTAGTGTCTTGTATTTTTTTGCCCTGAAACATCCAGATGAATTTCTGCTGGTGCCCTGAAGTTTCAGGATGGCCAGGGAATTTTGCCCTTAAAAATCAAGGCATTTCGCAAAGTTTTCAAAAGTTGCCCTGAGGGCTCAGGGTGCCCTAAATCCTAGCACAGGCCCTGGTTACAGGCATGTTGGCCTTGGGGGGTATGGGCGCACTGACCCGCTACTTAATATCCCAATGGTCTAGTGGTTGGGATTTTGACATAATATTAGAGCGAAGGTCTCGGGTTCGAATCCCAATGTATGCACTTCGGGCATCCTAGTGCGGGGGGGTGTTAGAGGTCCACTGGTGATCCCCGATTGATCCTGGGGAAGGGTTACAGGCATGTTGGCCTGGGGGGTTGTGGGCGCACTGACTCGCTACTTAACAAGCCCTTTTATCCCAATGGTCTAGTGGTTGGGATTCTGACATGATCACTACCAAGAAAGAGTGAGAATACAGGTAGATATATAAGAAGATCACAGTACAAGCAAAGTCTATAGCAAGTGAGGAAACCTAGGCACCAATCCTAGAGCAGTGCAGAAGCGCTGATGATCACCAGCCGGAAGGGCCTTGGTGAACACATCAGCCGTGTTGGCCCGGGTGGGCACGTGAGCAACACGAAGCTGACCACGCTACTGCAACTCTCAAGCAAAGTGATATTCTTCGTTCTGTGCTCCAGTCTGTGGTCCTGACACATGGCAATGGTGTCAGAATGCTAAGCAGGAATGAATGAACTAGGAAAGAGTTTGGTACAAATATGAAACCCTAAAGGGGTTGTACACCATACTGGCTACCCCACTATAGCCTAAAAATAAATAGCATATATATAATTTGACACACCCCCATAGGCAAAGTGGGGGAGAGCAAGGGGTCACAAGACCAGTCAAGAGAAGCAAAGCAAGCTCAGGGTGGATCACAACGTCACCACACACTCCAAGCACAAGCAAAAGGCCACAAGGCCAGTTCAGATGCAGAGGTATATATGCAACAACAGCAACACAGTGATTACTACCTAGTAAGAGCAAGCATGCAGGTGTTGTCAGAATGTTATATTATCTAGCCTGCAGTGGGGTGCTCTATAGCGAGTACAGCCTAGTTAGGGTTTGCTATTTGTATCCAACTGCTTGCTAGTGACCTCCTCCTCATTTTGGAGCCCATACTTCTTGGCCAGCCCCTCACAGTACTTCCTCTGGTGCATCCTCAACACTCCCTTGTCAAGGTCCCTCTCCACATGCATCCCCAGGTAGTACTTCACATCTCCCATCTTGGAACACTTGAACTGCATCTCCAGCATCTCCTCCACATGCTCAATCATTGCAGACGACTCAGAGAAGAGCAGGATGTCGTCCACATACACCAGGAGCATGAGAAACTGCTCCTTCTCTTGTAGCAGAAATAGGCTGTGGTCACACTCACTCTTCTTGAACCCCCCAGCCAGCAGTGTCTCCTCTAGCTTGTGGTACCATGCACAAGGAGCCTGCTTCAGGCCATAGATGGCCTTCTTCAGCCTGCACACCCTGCCGCTCCCATCATCCAAACCCTCAGGCTGTAACATGTACAGCTCCTCTAGGATGATCCCATTGAGGAAGGCGGTGGTGATGTCCATCTGCTTCACCCGCCATCCACGGTTTGCTGCCATTGCCAGTGACACTTTCAATGTTGTGCCTTTCCCCACAGGAGCAAAGATCTCGTCAAAATCCTTCCCCTTTGTCTGCTGAAACCCCTTAGCCACAAGCCTTGACTTGTAGCGGGTCAGCTCCCCATCAGGTCCGTACTTGTGCCTGAAATTCAGCTTGGAAGAAATGGCCTTCTTCCTAGGTGGCAGCTCACACAGCTCCCACGTCTCGTTCTCCAGCAGAGAGTCATACTCCTCCTTCACACTCTGCTTCCATTTTTCAGCATCCGGCCCGCTCAATGCTTCAGCTAGCGTCTTGGGCTCAGGAAGGGCTGCCCAGTACCAGTGTGCTATCTCATCCTCATCACACTGCTCAGCCACACTCCCAGCCCTTACCACCTTTGGCTTGCCAAAGCTTGGATAGGTCAGCCGGTTAGGAGGGCGCACATCCCTCCTAGGACGGTCAGCCAGACGTGCGGCACCTTGTGGAGCACCTTGCTGCTGCGGCTGCTGCTGCTGCTGCTGCTGCTGCTGCTGCTGCTGCTGCTGTTGCTCCTCCACCTCAGGTTCTCCCCCATCCTCAGTAACCCCAGAGATTTCCTCCTCTGAGACAGTGACCTGCACTTGTCTCGAAGGCCGCTGCACCTCATCTGCCTCAATGATCAGCGGTGTCGTAGGAAGCTTCTGCTGCTGTTGCTTCCACTCCTTGTAGTATAAGGTCTCAAGGAACTTCACATCCCTTGACACAGTCAGCTGCTGGCTGGTCAAATCCCATATCAACCAGCCCTTGTGATCCTTAGCAAGCCCCAAGTGCACACCCCATCTCCCAGAAGCTTCCAATTTTCCCCTCTTCTCTTTAGGCACATGAAACACCACTATGCACCCAAAGGCTCTCAGCATGTTGACTATTGGTGCACTCCCATACCACTTGGTGTAGGGGATCCACTGCTTGTCCCCCACAGTTGCCAGCACTCTGTTCTTCACAAGGGCGACTTGTCGCAGCGCAGTCA